TATGATATAATATTCAAGAAAGGAAGTCATATCTCTAATGCTGATGCATTATCGAGACTCCCTATGAATAGGGAAACTGAAATATCTGATTCTTTATATTCATTTAATTTGTGTTCCGATGTACCCTTAAATTCGATGGACATTGCATTAGCAACAAAAAAGGACATCACATTATCGAAAGCTATAGATCTAACATTAAGTGGGTGGCCAAATGCCATTGATGATGATGAATTGAAGCCCTATTTTAAGAGGAAGTTGGAACTATCTGTTGAAAAGGGTTGTCTGTTACTAGGGAATAAAGTGATTATCCCAAGAATAATGCACAATGACGTACTAAAATTGTTTCATGAACAACATATAGGCATTGTTAGAACCAAAATGCTCATAAGGTCATATTGTTGGTGGCCTGGTATGAATGAGGCTATTGAACAATTTATTAGCTTATGCAATACTTGCCAAGAAACACAAATATTTTCGAATAATAGTTCACTTATTCCTTGGCCAGCAGCACCAAACAATTTTTACAGAGTTAGTATAGATTTTTTTCACAAGTACAACTATACTTTTTTGATCTTAGTTGATAATAAATCAAAGTGGATAGAAGTTAAAATGATGAATGAAGGAACAAATGCAAAAGAGACCATCTTAAAATTGAAGCAAATTTTTTCGGTGTTTGGACTACCTGTTGAACTAGTATCTGATAATGGTCCACCATTCAATTCTACCGAATTTAGTGCTTTTTGTCAAGCTAATGCTATTAAGTTTATAAAAGTCCTCCATACCACCCACAAAGTAATGGGATGGCAGAAAAATCTGTACAAACCGTAAAGAAAGGTTTAGAAAAAGCTTTGTTTAGTGAAAAGGGATCGGGAGTGAGTAAATATACAATTTTGAATCAGTTGGAAAACTTTTTATTCGTCCATAGAAATACACCCTCAGTTTCAACTGGTATATCACCTTCTCAAAGCGTATTCAAAATTCGGCCTCGAACCAGGTACGATTTGTTGAAGCCTAGTGCTCAAAAACAATCTAATCTTGAGCCTGACATATTGAAGAAACTAAAATTATATTCTGAAAATGATATTGTATATGTTAAAAACAAAAATACTAAATTGTGGCAGAGAGGAAAGATTGTGAGATGTATGAGCTCTTGTACTTATCTTGTTCAGATTGATGATAGTATCAAACTAGTGCATGCAAATGATATGCGCAAATCGAATATTATGCCAGTAGATTCTTCATTAAATGACCCCATAGTATTAGATACCCAAAAATGTCCAAATAAGTTAGAAAATTCACCCATAGTGCCGGAAGTACCAGTATCAAGGAGCCCTATTCCTAGTGCACGCCAAATTTCAGATGTTCAAATGCAGTCAGCTAATGTTTCACCAAACATTATACAAAGTTCTCCGAAATCAAATCAGCAAGTTCCCATTGAATCTGGTACTACCCAAACTTCAAACATTATTAGATCTAAGTCTGGAAGAGTCATTAAGATTCCAAAAAAACTAGATTTGTAATCTTTTAATTAGGGGAAGAATTGTTATGTATAAGAAGTATACTCTAAGCTTTACAAATGTAGATGCAGCTTTAGCTATTGACGATCTTGAGGTTAACTGTCATTCGTCAGTCAGTTGTCTTATCGTTATGGTGGCTGATGGCCGGATCATTGTACTGTTAATTCAATGAATAATTAAAGTGTTGTTACTCAGAGTATCTTGTGTCCAGATTAATACACAGCAAATATAATCTGTGTGGCCAAGAAAAAGAGCGAAATTTGACAAAGGGGAGCGAGGTAGTGAACAATACGAGCGAGATCTCGTTACATCGGGCGAGCTGTGGCAGCGCTGTCTGAAAGAAGATATTGAAGATCTCCCCGAGATCTCCCGTTCCGTTTGTCCTGATCTCTGGCACCCCGAAAATCGCGACCACGAATTGCTTTTAATTGATTTCCGATAGAGAGGCATAATAGCGGGAAGTGTTGACATCCGGTCTACGTGAGAACCGGAACAGATGCCATGGGGTTTCTTTCGGCTTTTCTCTCTTTTCTCGGAGGATTTCCTCATCCTGCGCTCCTCCTGGGTAGTGGGTTTTAGGTGTCGGCACTTTTTCGATATGTGTCAAAGCCACCTATACAAGGCCTTCACTTAAAAAATAGCCACCCTTTTTATTGATGGACTCGAATGTGCCCATTAAAATACATTGGGCAGGTCATGATTTTCTACCTTACACGAAAAATGCATATATACATCGTACAGCTAGGGTGTTGCGAAATTCAATTAATTCATTTTTTTTACATGTGCACTCTGTAATGTTGCATGAGAAATATTTTTCTGCAGGACACAAAAACGGTTGAATTTTTTGAATTCAAATTTGGTATAAAAGGTATAGGTATCTATACCTATACCTTCGAAAATAGGTTAATTTTTGTCATCTCGGACATGCTATATCCAACAGTAGAGGGGCTGTAGTATAATAACGCAATCTTCCTAATTATTTATCTGAGCGGAATGAATTTTCGCGATATTTTTCACAGAATAGAAGCTTCATATAATTTTCAATCGAAGATTATCAATTGAATTGATTAAATACCTACTTTCTTAGTTTTCATTCTGTGAATGAATAACAATACTAGTTATTGTATTACCTATATACATGTAGCAATAAAATACAATCATTTTAGTTATTTTCTTTTATTAAAGTTTATCATACAGCTCTAGGACGTGGAAAGAAATTCTGAATTGAGAAAACCTAATCACGAATCTCCGATTGAAGGTCTAAAAATAACAAGTTTCCATCGTTCAAGTTTGAACCCCTGTGATTGAGTGAAAGTATTTGAAAGGAATATTCTCAGATGAATTATATGAACATGAAATAATGGATATCCAGGGTGTTCCTTAAATACATGCCAATATTTGAGAGGTTATTGATTCTTTGACTCATTTTAAGATGAAAACTTACTATGAATGTATGTCTTAAAAGTCTTAACTTTTGAGATACAGAGCGATAAAGTTTTGAAAAAATATCATCTACAATGATTTTTCAGAAATTTTTTTCCCGTTGCATCAGAAAATACAGGGTGCTCGGAACAAACGATCTACATAGTACTACTTGAATTTTTCAAATGGAACACCCTGTATTTCATTGTATTTTCATATTCTCCCTGAAGAGCTGATTTCATCGATGCATCACACTAGGGGTCTAGCGGGGATGATTACAGGGATATAGGGTGTTCAAAATCGAGATTTTTCAACTTTATTAGAATTTTTTTGTGTCGATAAACTATTCATTATTGGTCAAAACGGCTTCGATGTCCCTATCTCAACTTTTGATTTGCTATCTACTGACATTTGATTGGAACAGGTACAGGGTGATCAGAATTCTGAATCTTGAACCAAAAATAAGTGAGCTAGAGGGAGGGGACATTTATGGTGAATCACCCTGTACATGCTAAAAGCTATGAGTACTCCATTCAGGACATCAATCACTGGATAACCACAGTATGTAACATTTTGAAATTTTTGCACCGTTTCATCAGTCACATATATAGCAGACTGAATTTTTTCATCACGAAAAGGAGCTATACAGGGTGGACAACAAAATAATCTATGCATATTTTCATGATATCTCAAAAGTTATGACGTTTACGACATACGTTCATATGGAGTTGAATTCTTGAAATGGGTCGAAGAATCGCACCCTTGAATATATTAGCATGTCATTAAGGAACACCCTGTATATGTATATCAAGAAATACATTGAGAATTATTCGCTTCAGAATCTGATGATAGCTCGTACAAAAATATGAAAAAAGTTTCTATTAACTTAGCCTCTATAGAATGCAGTTAAATCAAGCAAGTAAAACTGTTCCTCAAGGATATACAGGGTGTTTCATAATATATGCGCAGGACTTCAGGATCTGACAGCTCGTCCAAAAATATGAAAAATACGTTTCTATCGACTCAGCCTCTAGAATGCACCATTTTTCAAGATACAGGGAGGTGAAATTTGCCAATATTTCTGGAACCGTTTATCACACAGAGAGACCAAAAAAAAAAGTTCTGCACAGAACATATAGCTTATTATGAGTGGAAAATGCTCACAAGAGCTGTTTTTTTTTCTAATTTCAACACCCTGTATCTCGAAAATAGTGCATTTTAGGGGGTATATAAGTTAATATACAGGGTGATCCACGAAAGTTAACATAGGGACATGTAAGCCGTTTTGATCGATAATGAATAGTTTCGGCTCCTAAAATTGAAAAATCTCGATTTTGAACACTCTATATCTCTGTAATCATTCCTGCTAGACCCCAAGTGTGATGCATTGATGAAATCAGCTCTCTAGGAAGAATTTACAAATGCAATAGAATACAGTTGTTTCTGATAGAAGTGGCAACACTGTATCGATAAAAATATTTTAGACGGATAGAGAATATTGAATTATAGTTAGACAGGAAAATGTAATTTTGCCAACTTGTCTTATTCATATCTATTATACTTGTCACTAAAACTTCGCGATTGTAATTTTCTGATATCACCTGAGGTCCTTAGATTAGTTTACTTCCGATCATGGCCACCTAGATGTAATTTCAAGTGTCTCCGAAAAAATCAAGTAGACATAAAAATTTTCGAAAAAGTCACATTCTGATCTAGAATTGTCTCAGAAATCCAAAAATGTTACAATATACCGGGTGTTCCATTTAAAAATTTAGAACCGGAGCCATTTCCGGTGAAACCGGAAGTGACCAGGAAGTGAAAAATATGTGAAAACTCTCCTCTTCACATACCATTTACCGATACCAAATCTCATTTCAATACACTTAATGGTCTAGAAGTTATGACTTGTCTAATAGATTCTTTGACACCGGGTATGTATGTATACCATTTAACAATTCCAGGTAATATTATTATTATTATTTATTCAAAATTCTCATTTGATTCATTTTTCCTTGAAGTGGACCTATCCTTTTTTTATGTTAATTCTTCATGGAGTAAGTTGATGACAAGAAAATTTTTGATTTTTTAATGAAGAAATATTCACTAAAAATGTATGATGTTTATTATTATATCAGTGAAAGGTATGTGAGTTTTCATAATATCTAAAGCCTGGGATATCTGACTGTAAAATAACTGTATCTATTGCCATGAATATAAAATCTCAAATCACTTATAGATCAATAAGGTTTGAACTTTCTAGCTTCTTTCATGAGATTTACTTTCTTTTTTGCTTCCTCAAAATTCTTCCTAAGTTTGGCAATATTCTCCATTTTAGACTCTCTTATTTGGAAGGTGTAAAAATTCTTCAGCTCTTTATTTTTAGAGCTTTTAGCAATTTTTTCATCCAATTTGGTTTTCACACTCTCTTTTCTAGATAAACCAGATTTTCTTCCACCCTTAGTAACTAATGTCCAACCCTCATCATCAACTGTATCTTCTTTTTTGTTATTCTCTTCACTTTCAAACTTCCTCATGCAATCATCAACTTGCTCTTGTAGTTTTTCAATATCTACTATGCTGGAATTATATTCTTCCATCCACTTCTTTATACCAGTTTTCACTGGTTTTTCTGTAGTAGACAAGGGGTCAAGTTGTTTTAATCTCAATGCTTTCAATAAACTCTCTCTTTTACTAAAAACAATGAAAGCTCTTCTGAAACCATCTTTGTTTGCTAGACCTTCTTCACTCACATCTAGAATTACCCTGGTTATTTTGCCTGCAGGTGAGAAAGCCGTTTTCAAACTGTCTTCAGTAGCAATAGGAGGAATGTTAATCACAAATAAAGTTTGTCCAGGTGGTTTATTTTCATCTTTTTTCCTTATAGAGTGTTCTTTTAAAAATATGTCATGGGAACTGGTACTGTCTGATGAAAACTGCAGTGGTAACACTGAAAACGTAAATTATTGGTATTATATAAGGCATACCTGTATTGTATTATTACCTTTGAAACCAAGCAATTCCGAAGTCATGTTGCTATATCAAAAATTAAAATAAATGTCTTTTTCATTCGATCATTATCAAAGGAGAATGAAGCTAAGGTTAATTTTTTCGTCTTCTGCTTTCTGCTTGTTTAGATAGATTCTCTCGTCGACTGACATTAGTGACATTAGCTGTTTTGGCTATCCGCTTATATCCGCTTGGGGAAGATAGGGCCAGAGAACTAAAGCAAGGTTGGTAGAGCTACAAATTTTGTGGCTCCATCTAGTAACCATGATTGAAGATTGCTCGATATTGTCACCTGTCAAAAGCTTGTCATGCGTCATGCTGCGGACTTCTTACTTTTTCTCTGTTTCTGTTCTTGGATGAGTGGCATCCATTTTTGTTGCGTAAGAATCGTAAGATTGTTCTTCTCGGTTTGGCGTGCTGCTGGCTTCTTCCTCATTTTTGACTTCTTCTGAACTAATATTTTTGATCTTTGCCTGAATAAAGAAACCGAAGAATTTTCTTCGCCATAGACCATCGGTGTCCAAGTGCCATAATGGTGGATATTGTAGATGGATTTTTAGGTTTTCCTAGGGAACCTAAAGAAGAGGTGTTGTCTTGCACGAAATGCGATTATGAAAGTAAAAATATTGATGAACTTGATGAACATCTTCTGGTTTTTCACGATATCGATGAAGATCAAGACAACAAATTCGAAATTGTGAAAGAGAAACCCAAAGAGATACCAAAAAAGAAGATAAGAACCGATGTGAAAAAATGGATTTCTAATTTCAATACTCTGGGCAAAATTCCCAGAGGTAAAGTTATAATAAGAAAAATCGAACCTCGATTTCAAATAACCAACGAAGTTATTGAAGATATTGATCACAAAAAACTACTCAAACCACCTAAACTCAAAGAAATACCTAGAGATGCCCCTACTCGAAAAAGAGGAAGGTTGTTACCAAATGGAGAGAGGTTGCATTGTTGTAGGACCTGCAGTTTTACAACTACTATTAAAAGTGAATTACCCAAACACAGATATGCTGCTCATTCAGATTCAATCATCTACAGATGTTCACAGTGTCCTTATGAGACAAGACGAAAGAATGATATGCCAAAACATATGCTGGGTCATTGTGATAATGGTGAGTTTTTTTCAACTGAAATATGAATGTAGGTTGTGTATTTTCCTGTAATGATGAAAATACACTAAATTTCATTCATACATTGAAGCATGCTAGAGTCTTTGCATGCCATTGAAAATTGAGGCTGGGGTACCACAAGGTTCAATTTTAGGGCCATTATTTATATTTCACAAAGGTATTGTCTTGCAAGATGTCACTAGTGTGTTAATTCATTTAGGAGGAGGATATGCAGGGGAAGTTGAAAGGTATCAACAAACAATCAATTTCTATTTAAGCTCCCAGGATTATTTTTATCTATATTGGGTGTGTATATACTTTGTATATTTACATCTAACACTATATTTCTAATCTGAACAATATGGTGCATCTCCACCAGTGATTTTATAGGTTGATGGAATCATATTTGCATCAATTTTTGATTGGAATTAGCTACAGAAAAACCAAATTGAGGTTACTTTTGATTTTCCATCAACAATGGAAGAATATGTGAAATACTTTCTTTAACAATAGTCATCTGATATCTTTTACCCGATGTCTTAATATTCCTGCTGTTAAACAGCAACTTTCGAGGTATGAATATTATAACCTCTCTAACCTTAAAACATTTCAGCTCAAGGTTGTTCACCAGTTGAATTAAGCAACACAACATGTTATCAATCAATCAATCAACTTTATCATTCCCAAGAAACAACATTTGTTTATAGCAGGGAACATGGTGAATGCATAAATATATTTGACAAAATAAAATAAAGAAGACAGTAAAATAAGACTCACACTCAAAAGAATCATTTTTTTTCAAGTTCAACTGAAAATGAGTCTCAATTGACTCAGCTGTTAGGTACCCAATAGAAAACAATAGTAGTTGTACAAGAAAACTATATAAAAATGAGATAAGATGTCAATATTACAGAAGTAGATGTTTCTTGAATTCTTTTTTAAATTTTTCAATCCTATTAATCAGCTTCAAGTTATTTGGTAGTGAATTGTATTGTATCATTCCATTGTGAATTCAGTAACAGAACATTTTTCACCACTGTGTTCATGGACCAGATTGATGAATTTAGGTATAATTATTGTTTCCACCCACGGTAATTCTGAACAATCACGTAGTGAGAACTAGGGCATTAGTTAAATATCTGGGAGTGCACTTAGATCACAAACTAAACTTTAATCATCATACCCAGTTGATGAAAAAAAAGTGCATCACAAGAGGTAAACATTTTCGAAGCTTAACCTACAAGAATAAAGGAATTAACAAAAGAACTGCAGCACATATTTAGAAAACTATTTGCCGCCCAATTCTTGAGTATGCTCACCCAATATACATAAACACAAGAAAGACGGCACTAAACAATTTGGAAGTAGCAGAAAGAGCTAGCCTGAGACGAGGGGTAAATCTCCAGGAAAAATGTGTACACCAGACTTCCAATGACCAAAGACTTCCAAAGACTCCCAAAGACTTCCAAAGACATCCAACGGCTTCCAAAGACATCCAAAGACATCCAAAAACATCCAAAGACATCCAAAGACTTCCAAAGAATTCCAAAGACTTCCAACGGAGTGAGAGCCATTACCAAAATCCGGCACCCTCAAAATCCCCTTCACCATTCATCAAACGAACTTCTATATAGGCTGACCAGGGTGCAACCAATTTGAGAGACTGAAAAAGCTGACATTGAAGTTTTCCAAAAACGAATCCAATCTCCAGAAATTATCCAATTCCAGTGTTTACAGAGAGATCCAACAGTGAACCCGAGACGGAAGTTTCCGGAAAACACACTATTGGAATGCTAAATCAATTCAGAAGACTGAAATTCCTTCAAAATTCTTGCCTTACAATAGACTTTTCTTCTTTTTTTTTCACTAGCAAATTTATTAATTCCATATATCTTGTACATTCAATAATGATGAATTTAAACTCAATTTAAAATCACTGTGTAACACAGGCTGAAGGACCTCCGTCGGTAGCCTTTTGGGTATCCAATAAACCTCTTTAATTATCATTATTTATTATTATTGTTCCCAGTGCCGATGTATCAGTGTCCAGAATGCCCCTATAAAACGAAAAGGAAGTGTGATCTACCAAAACACCAGCTGTGCCACACACCAACTGACTCCATCAATCTCTACAAGTGTCAGTTCTGCGTTTATGTCAGCAAAAGGAAGGGGGACCTGGCCAAGCACATGTGGAACCACAGCGAGGAAGAGCACTGTTTCATGACCCTGTTCAATTGTACAGAATGCGAGTATGTCTCTAAGAGGAAAAACGATCTGCACAAACACATGCTGGTGCACAGTGACAGAAATGTTTCTGAGGTCTTCAAGTGTCAGAAGTGTCCCTACGCCTCCGATAAGGTACTTGCCACCAAAACATTGACATAACCTCAATATCACAGAAACTATGTGAACACAAACTTGTTCTCACTTCTATAGCAGTTCCAAGAACTGCCACATGTGGTCTGCCACATTGTAATGGTTGGGCTTTACCAAAGATCCAACAATATAATATATGTGTCTTTCAGAAAGTTGGCATCGTAATATGACAAACACTTTCAATAATAATTCATTTTGAAATTTGCCTAGGAGTTGAGTTCTACTTCAAAAAAGATGAAGCATTGCCTACCTACCCCTAACCTAAAGATACTGAATTTTTTTAATAACAGAATTTTTTTAGTATAAAAAAACATAAATAACAGTTGCAATAGTACATTTGAATGAAGAAGTTTACTTCTGATGAATTTTCATGAAATAAGTTTCAAACTTCTCAATCATATGTCCATGCTGAACAGAATAGCGATCCATAAAGTCCAAGTCGTTGTTATTATCAAAATTAAGCAACTTTTATTTTTCGGGGCGGTGAAACTGTGACATAGCTATATATATTAAATATATAATAATATAAAAACTGAAGAAGACAATTTGACAAATTCTATGACTTTCTCTGCCATGAACAGAGACAAATATGGGAACAAAATCAAGTTCAGCAACACAAAGGAACAGACCTATAACGATGATCAATTAACTAACAAACAATTATAAACTGTAGACATAGGCTAATGAGTAAATAAAAACATACATAACCACAAAATCAGATCAGCTCCTGATGTGCCCGTCAGTATTTTGAGTGTTGAAGGGCTCAAAGTATTATGCCATGTTGCAAGGTATAATCTGCAACTTTCGTAGAAAATAGATCCGCTTTATAAAGGAACGAATCCATAAAAAAAATGACAGACGGAACGAATCCATTAAAAAAATGACAGTTATGATTACCATATAACGAGAGTGGACAATTATATATGCTATTGTAAAATATAATAATTTATCTTCATTAGTAATGAACTTTGGTTATAATGTATTCAAAGAACTATTTCCTGAAATCTAGACATATTGATGATGTCGAAAACGTCGTACTGAGACAAGGAATTGTATTTTAACTCTGTGTGTGAATGTGGCTTTCCATAAAGTACGTTATAGGAATGGCGCCATAAGTTCCTTATTCATTTATTTTTCTCGGAAGAAAGTCAAATTATGGTGTGACACCAATTTATTATCTCTCAATATTGACAAGACATGAATTATTAATTTCAGATGTGATATTGATGATGTCTTCCTCGAAAATGAATGGCTCAGTAATAGAGATACTAACAAGTTTTTAGGGTTGAACATTGACGCCAAATTGAAATTTGAAAGGCACATACTACTTCTAAGTAAAAAGCTAGCATCTGGCTGCTATGCTGTGAGGGTCACTTCAAATGAATTGGGATTAATTGCGGCAAAAAATGTTTACTATTCACTTATTTTCGTTTTACAAAAGAGAGCATTGTGTGAAGCTGGGGTGAGGGATTCATGCAGATCATTGTTTCTAGTCCATGGCAAATTGACATTGGCTTGCATCTTCATTTTAGAAACTCTGTGCTTACTTCAAAAGAAATATAAAGATTTCAGATTTGTATCACCTACACATAAAACCCGCAGCTCTTCGAATTGTATCAAACTTCCCATTCCCACATTGGCTCTGACTGAGAACTCTTTAATTTATGAGAGCAAGAAAATGTTTAATTATCTGCCTATATACCCACGGGAAATTGACAATGAACTAAGTTCAGAGTACAAGTCAGAAAGTTTCTAATTGTGAAGGCTTATTATAGTTTGCCCGAATTTCATCAAGCTTCCTAACAATATATTTTATTTCATATCTAGATTCGAATCTAGATTTCTTCAACTTCATATTTAGATTTATATTATTTTATTTCCTCATTTATTTCATTTCATTTTATTTCTACATTTCTGTTGTGCTTTAGTTTGTTAGATAGTTATTAACGCACTATTTTGTTAAGTATATGTTATTTTTTTTTAACTATATTGTGATAGAGCTCACTGCTCCAAATATTGTTTTTCTTGACTTATCTTCTAATGTTTATGTATTTGTTACCATAAATCTTTGATCATGTTCATTTAACCTATATGCTTTGTCAATGAGAATCACCTTTCTTTGGACAATAAAGCAAATTTTGATTTGATTTGATCTTAAGTGGAATTACATATAAACTGAGTTTTTAGGAACTCTACAATGAGATAAAAAGCTCAATATTGGAAACTTAACCATTCTCATGTGTGAAAGCCGAATAGAACTTCTCTCAATAAAGGTTCTTGAAATTCAAATAAATAAACCTATTTTCCGAGATTAATTTGAAAAGCCGAAAAGTCATTTGAGCCCGACCAAGTCGACCATTTTCCATCTTTTTTTTGTAGCAAAACAACGCCCAAGTCGAATTTCTAAATAAATTATCAATAAGTGTGTCCCATATGAATCACCTTTCTGAAAGACACTGTATACTCTACTAGATCTAGTAATTAATTATCAAGTATAAGATCATTCGGAATGTTTAGGTGGTGAAATTCTCGAAACACGTGCTCAGCCAATGCAAGAAGTGGGACGACAGCGTCAGCCTCGACCACCTCAGGCTCGAAGACATCCTCGATGGCGTCGACGACGAAGACTATCACGTGGTCATCGACGAGAGAGAGGGAAGAGCGCTGAAGAAGACGTTCGTTAACGTACAGGAAGAGGAAGCAGGGGAGGAGGAGGAGGAATACGAGTATGTGGAGGAGATCGAAGGGGAGGTGGTGGTGGAGGATCAGATCGTGGGGTACATAGAAGAAGGGGAACAGTTGGAAGGGGAGGTGATTGAAGTGGTAAGTATGGATATGTGGCTAATGATCAATAAAAAAGTTGCAGTTGACGAATTAGTAAATTTATTTCACCACATAATCGCAATTGTTTATTCAATTGACCATCTACTGACCTTATGACAAACTACAAAGCATGAAGATGAACTTCAAACTCTTCGTCATAGAAAATAACACGTCGCCCCATCTGACGGCAAGAACTGGAACACTTCTGAGCGGTTTGTTTTGATGCTATGACCAATAAGCACAAACAAAAAACAAATGTGAACCAATGAAAACAAAGTAAACTTTGACAGTTTTCAAGAACTCCACTAGGTGGCGTACGCTTATTTTTCTATCGCGACTTATTCTTGTTAACTTTTTCACAAAGATATAAACAAGTACAACTACATGGTTCTTCTTCTTCTCCTCTTGAAACATAATTCTTTAAGATGAACATGTATCACATTTCCACTAGCATTTCTTATTCTTCAACTTCCTTTATGCCAAACACAAATAGGATATCAACATGGACTAGCAACTCCATTCTAACAGAAAAGCAAGTATGTATATATACTCCTTCTTTACTCTTCCACTAGGAAATGAATAGGAGCAACTACATGATTCTTCTTCTAGTTTTTGACCTCAGATGTTTTATGAAGCTGCAAGGTCCATAAGGTAAATATGTATCATAATTTTCACCATTTCTCTATCATTTTCCTTCATGTCCAACACAAAAGGATACCTATATAGACTGGTTGGATTAGATACTTCATTCTTACAAGACAAAGAAGTAAATAGTAGCTTGAACATGATTCTTTTTCAGTCATTGACCCCATGCCTCAAAAAATACAATTTTTATTCTTTCTCTTTACTCTTCCACAAAGAGATGACCACTCTCTTCTCTCTCTTCCTGAATATGGCCTCTTGTCTTACGAGATACAGCCAGTCCTTATTACGGAGAACCCGTTCTCATCCGGCCTGGATACCGGCGTAAATCATAAAGGTTTTGTTTATCGAGCACCCTGGATGGCTCACTCGAAGTGATACCAAGTACTGTGTAACTACATTGTTCTTCTTCTTGACCTCTTAGAACATTGCAATTCATTAAGATGATGCGATGTATCTCACTTCCACTACCATTTCTTATTCTTCAACTTCCTTTATGCCAAACAAAAAGGATATCAACATGGACTAGCAACTCCATTCTAACAGAAAAGCAAGTAGGTATATAGAGCGTTTTCATGGTTCTTCCTCTAGCTCTTGACCTCATGCCTTAGCAACTACAATTTCTTATTCTTTCTCCAGTTTTCCACGAGAAAATGGTTCTTCTTCTATTTTTTGACCTCTGATGTCTTATGATGCTGCAAGGTCTATAAGGTAAATATGTATCTCTAACTTTTACCATTTCTCATTCCTTTATGTCCAACAAAAAATATATAGCCATCCTCATAACACAAATAAGTAAATAGAAGCTGTTGCATGTTCCTTTTCCAGTCCTTGGTCTAATACCTCAGAATCTACAATAATTATTGTTTATTCTTTTTTTTCAATTCTTCCACAAAGAGATGACCTAACTACATGGTTCTTCTTCTAGTTCTTCGCCTTAGATGTTTCATGACACTTGTCCGGCATAGGCTATAATTCTTATTCTTATTTTTCTCTACATGCAACTCGTTTCCAGCTTTAGCCAGGAATAATTTCGAAAAATTTATGCCTGTTAATTTTTGCCATTCATATGCTTGAATTTCAAAATTTTGCGATGACTACAACCCAATTTTCCCGGAATGGCCTTACCCATAGGTGAGATTGATGAGTGGATATCTTCCTGATTTGAAAGCTGTTTTTACCTACAATTTTCCATCCAGCTTGAATGAAATTCCGGAATTTGTTTCATAGTTACCAATGTTTCAAGAACATTCACAAAAAATTCGCACATAGAAACAAATTGTCCTTAATTGCATTCCCTAGGAAGGTTAAAATTGATTATTTTCTGGCAGGCTGAAGGTGACATATACCAGGAAGAGGACGAATACGTGACATATGAAGAAACCGAAAACGGGGAATATGTGCAGGTACAGAATCAAGGGAAGGATGCAACTCGGGGGGTGTTCAAAATCAATCTGGGGGAGTTTTCTGTTGATGTCGATCAAAACCAGCATTAGAGGGAGGGAGAAGGCTGAAGCTATAAAGTCCGTTTTGCTTCGTTTTTTTTTTGTAAATTTTGTCAGTGCCATTACAGGAAAGTGGTTTTGGATGCTCACTGTTCTTAAATCTTTTTTCTTTGAATTTTTTGAAATTGAACCTTTCTTATCAAATTATATAAAATATTTTTCTTGAGAGTATAGTATTGAGTATTCAACGCAATTTCAAACAATTTCCTAATGAAGGAACCATGAAGTTTCTGTAGCTCAATCAATGATAGATACAGACGGATGCAAAGAACATGTCGCGGTTGGATGGTGTTAGGGCTCTTATTCTATAGGATTGAGTAGAAGTGCTTTCTCCGCCCATGTGCGACATTTCATTTGCATCTGACTGTACATTGTATAAAATACCATTATTATTATGTAGTAATATTGTTAATATTAGTAGCTTCAATATTGGATGTCAAATGTTTCATTGTAATAATTATTATTGTACTATCATAATCTGTTATTCAGATGTAAATATAATGGAAATTGTAGAGGGTAGTTATGTTTTCATCTGTCAATATTTAAGTTTATAACAATAAATTCTTGTACAGTAGTTTTTTAAGCCTTTATAATGTGTTTTGAATAATAAATTCCATCAGGTATTACAAATTCGACAGATAACCGTTACTGCCCAGATATGATACATGCATGAATATGCACCTACTGATGTTTTTGAACCAAACTACCTTTTTGGTAATTTTGCACTTATGTGATGGTTTTTTTTTCGAAATTTCTTTTTGGTACTCGATAAATAGTGGTTTGTTCACATTTTCATTATCAAATTCCTGTTTTTAGGACAAAAATACGTAAGTACCAAAAAATTACCGTGGGAATGATCCAAACAAAAACTGGTCACCAAACATGCTAAACAAATAATATGAAAGACAGTATAGGTACCTACCTACCTATTTCGAATTCACAAGGTTGATAGGAGGGGGGGTCTTTTAGTTCATGATGCTGAAGTGAGGAAAAAAATCGTTTCATGTGATAAGAACTACCGACCTACAAATTTCTAAAGTTGATCTCACTTTAAAAATATTTCTCTCACAAGCAATGACTATATGACATTAGATAGATGGAAATCAGTTACATAAAAATCAAGACAAGTTTTATGTACAAGATTGAGAGTTTTTAACGTTACTACGTCGTGTATACTTATTTATAAAATACTTCAAAGATATACCCAGCAAACACCGATACATATCTGATACATAACAACCACATATTTCTGTTCTCATCCGATGTTGCAGACATATTATCTGTACAGTTAATGTATCTTGCATGTAACGTCAAATTTCCGCCTCCCTGAATATGTCCTTTATATATCTGACATATGTTGAGCGTTTTCGAAGTAACATTGCATACATGTCTCAGATACATTATAAGTAACGAGTTTGTTCTTATAATGATACTTAAATGAATGTTACAGAGTAATATATGTGAGATGATTCCAAAATAATGTACTTGATCATTTCGAGAAATATACAGGAATTTTAGTGTCGACAGCCATATTGACAACTTTATTGTTATTATTGAAGATACAAAATTGTTCAAATCAACAAACTACCAGTAGGTACATAGGTATTTCTGACTATAGAAGAACATTTCTCATTATATGTCAGAAAAAACACGATACTCAAATGTTTATATTTTTTCTTTCACCATAAAAAGCATTGAAAATACTGCTAGTTTGATCATTTAAACAATGTTGTATATTCAATTATAACAAAGTTACCTATGGTGGACACTCAATATTTGGATAACCCTGTATACTTAGGTTGTAGTCACCTCCTCATTTGTAGTGTTTCATGTCTGATTGTTTGCAGTGTCTTGTCCTAATGGAAATGGAAATCATGGTTTCTAGAATGAAAATCAATGGAAATTATTTGAAATTCAAGTTTTAAATACATCACTGAGAAAACATCATACCTACTTATATGTTGATAGAGACAAAATATTGAAGATAAAAATGTTATTATCAATTTGAAATGATTCAGCATTTCAGACCCCAAAATGGAAGATTAGGTACTTCAGTGGTAATGATAGGTAAATTGAGTGGTGAATCACCTATATTCATATGCTTATTTCTAGCTAATTCTATATCAGATGTATATCCAGGAATGTATTCTCTTCTGAGGAAAGCACTGCACATACTATATATAGCACTTTTGACACATCAAAATGGTTTATAATGTCTTGGTGGAACATTGACCATACACAATTGATATGTACACCTTCATGTTTCTAGGTGGTTTCTAGAGTTCTACTTCAGAGGTTGAAACCTACTTTGGAAAATGCACTTGAAAGTGTAGTGGAATATGGAAAGTTTGATTGTTTGATGACCCAAAATCTTATGTCAAAGAATGTTTCCTTTTTTCATGCTTTTGGATTTTCTAACCCATCCATATTGTCCCTAAAAGTCACAAAAGAACACCATTATTTTCAACATCCATTTGAGCACATTCTTCAGGCTCAGTTGTTATAGAACAGCTGATGATACTTACATAGATGAACAGACATTGGAAATTGCACATGAAAGTGTCATGGAATATTCGATGACCCAGAAGTCTTCCAAATTGATCTTGTTAGTCACAGACAAAAACTTCATTCAATACCCCATCGGGCATCTTCTTCAGATTCAGCTGCTTTGGAGTGGCTTGTGGTACTTACATTGATAAATGCACATTAGCAGTGTGATCATGTTGAGACAGATTTTCTTCTGAAAAAATGTGTGAGACAAACATGCTAGCAAAGCATAACATAACCTTCAAAGGAAACTAACATGAAGTTGTCTCCATCAACTAGGTACCAACTCCTACGGAACAGAACGTTTCACTGTTATGAATATGTTGGTGATTCTAGAAATAATCTTGTATAGTTTCGAGACATAAGTGAAATATGCGATTTTGTTTCCTTTACCATACATGTATAATTCAACTGAACAATCTTTTTTCATGGCATTCGAAGCATCATATATGTATATGATATGTGTCTTGTTATGTAACCACCTGAACAAGAAAATATATTGCATGAAATGTAATAGCTTTGCAGCAGATATGTTGCATGGTGATGTATCTCCGGAACCCTGATGAGCTCCATTTGCCATATGGCAGACATATGTGTGTTTGCTGGGTATATAGTACCTAGTTTAAATTACCACATTTGAATCACTTATATCGTCTTAGGCATGTATTTTCTTTATGTAGGTACTATCTAGTTGCAATAATATAGGACATATTATTATTTTACATACCTTTTTTGAATCATTACAACACTACTTTTCAGATTTTCTGTTTTCATTTCTCTTCACAGGAATTTGAAAAATAAATGTTTAAGAAGAAATTTCCTCTTCTTTTTTTATAACACTTCTTCTAAAGTGTCAAATCTCACTAGCTGTCAAGCTGTCATATTTCTGCTAGTAGTTCATTTGGCTTGAATTATCATTTTATGCAGATTTTTATAGACTGAAAACAGATGTTAATTGTTATGGGACTGATAATATTATCACAATATCAGTATTATTAGCCATACCTATACATCGAAGGACCGCTGGACTCAATACTCCGTTCTATATACCAATAAAATTATGAGTGGGACAATACTTTATAAAACGAATCTTCTCAAGCTCATCAGTGATAAAAAATTCGACCAAATGTGTCGCATCTGTATATCTGGTAAAGGCCATTTGAGAAACATCCATTGCACAAGAATCCCAAAGATGATGGAGAGTTGTGCCTGCATAGAGGTAAGTCAAAGAGCTACTGACTTTGTCTCATCAACTGCAAAATGTTTCTCCCTACAGGTATCTGATGAAGATGGATTACCTCCCAAAATTTGTGTTTCATGTTTCCACTTGATAACCAAATTCTATTCCTTCAAGAAAAAAATGGAGTACACCGACAAAATACTGAGGCAAGTGCTCAATGATAAACTGAAACAAAGTGACATACTCAATGTAGCTTTGAATGAAGCTGAAATAAACCAAAATGTAGATGACAGAGATGGAGATGAATTAAGTGAAGAAGACATTCCTCTAGCACAAAGGTTGATTATTCGAAAAACTATAGAGTCAAATACAAAACAAATTGAGCAGAACCTCATATTCCCATCAGATGGTCCTCCACCCTTGGTACCATTAGCCCCTTTGAAGAAACTAGCCCCCATAGATGAGCAGCCAGTGCAGCCTTTACCCATAGACACTCCTCCTTTAGTACCCATCAAAACATCACTTCCAAACATTGAAAATCTGGAATACAACTGCAGTACCTGCCAGCAAAAATTCACTGACGTCACAATGTTCAAGAACCACAAACTGACCACTTGCCAAGACAATGCCTTGCAGTGCAGCATTTGCAAAAAAGAGTTCAAGGACCCCAAAAAGCTCATCGGTCACTTGAAAGGCCACATGGTGTCCAAAGATTACGCCTGCAAAATATGCGGCTTACAATACCCAAACCCCAGCACCGTTCAGATCCACATTCGAACTCACACAGGGGAAAGACCCTTCAGGTGCAAAATATGCAACAAAGGCTTCATGAGGGCAGCAGGCGTTCAAGGTCACATGAGGATACACCAAGACGTCAAGCCTTACCAGTGCCAGGACTGTGGCAGAGGCTTCAAAGTCGCCTCGAACCTGAGGCGCCACAAGAGATTGCACACTGGCGAGCTGCCCTACCAGTGCAAAACCTGCCAGAAGAGTTTCTCCCAGTGGGGGAACTTGCAGCTGCACGTGAGAACTTTCCACACGAATGATAGGCCTTATTTGTGCAACGAGTGTGGTAAAAGTTTCGTGAACTCCACAAGGCTGAACAGGCACATGTGGGTGCACTCGGGCTTTAAACCGTACGTGTGCAGAGTTTGTATGAAATCCTACACTAATTACAATGATTTGAAGAACCATGAGAGATGCCACACTGGGAAAAACCCGGAGGAATTCAAGAAGCATGCTTGTGACTTGTGCGGTAAAAGGTTCTATCAGCGGTGCAGGCTGGCAAGTCACAAGAAATCGCATGAGAAGGTTTACTATGCTTGTCAGTTTTGCGACAGGCAATTCTCCTCGGATGGCTTGTTGAGGAGGCATTTGGCTAGTAAACATGACGTTCCCTACGTGAATATTATCGAGAATGAAGGAAACAACGATCTGCACTTCATGGGATGTGAACAGTTTGAAGTAGCAGAAATAATGTTGAAAGGTGAGCTGGAACAGGCCAATGATGAACAACTCAGGCTGCCCTATTGAATTCTATGAGATTTTATAGGGGTTATAATTAAATTGAATCACTGACATAGCTTCAACTATATTCGTAAACTAGAGATAGAGCTGGTTTATGTAGCGATCTAGTTAACCCCTGGTGTTCCAGGATTTTTCCAAGTGGCGATGATTTTGAATCTCAGCAAACCATTCGGGTGAAATAACCATGCATTCACATGCCAGTATGTTAAAGATTTTTTATTATAATGGCATTAAATATTATGATGAATTTGATAGGATTAAGATTGTTCAAGGCGATAAATTAAAAGTCTTTCCAGACTCCATGTCTTTTTCGTCTCCTCTATAACCGTTGAAGCAATTTTGACTGAGAATACTGAGAAATTATTTATTTTCGTTTACTTACATTACATAAACCCTACAAATTCTGCCTGAACATTTTCTGAACGCCTGAAATTGTCTTTAGTTAGATATAAATGATATAATTCTGAACCTGATCTGCTGCAGATGCCACTAGAAGCACTGTTCTTGTATAGCTATGTATATTGTGATAAGACAAGATACAAGATGTCGCCACTACGAGTTCTTAGTCATGTCACTGTCAAACTGTTGGATGTCAATAACACGTCACAATCAGCTGGTTTGCGCTTTGGGCTATTGGGCTGTGCCTGTGAGCTATACATTTTCAAGAAGCACTGGTTTATTTATATTCAACAAACAATTTTCCATTGGTTGCCAAAAGTTTTTCCATTAGTCAAAAAAAGATGGAAAAATGTGATCGTCCAAATATATGTAGAGCCTGTTTAACCGAAGACGGAAAATTACAATCTGTATTTACTTCAGAAATTAGTTCTGGACTGCCTTTACACATTTCTGAAATGATAAGTTCTTGCACTTCATTTGAGGTAATCATATATCTTTTATATACATAATCATTCATCATTTTCACAGTTTTTCACTACAGGTATCCCTAGGGGATGGCCTACCTGATCAGATCTGCACAGAATGTGTCACTAGTACTGTTAAAATGTATCTTTTCAAACTAAAATGTGAACATAGTGATAGAATTTTGAAAGAACGGCTGAAAAAGGTTACTGTAGTCTATCAGAATGATCTGGAAAACGAAAACAATAAAATCAAGGCAGAAACTGTTGAATGTAAGGATATGGAAATCAATAATGAAATTCTGGACGATTCAGATAAATTCGATTTTGATACATGCAAACTTGATAATGAGGATGATACCCAACCAGTGTATCCAGAAAAGGAAGAATCAACACTCAAGGAAGAAAAAATTAAGAAATTCCAGTGTGACATCTGCAACAAACGTTTCAGTAGGTATGATCTGCTCATTCGCCATAAGATAGCTCATGCCATGAAGATGGAGCAACAAAATGTTCAATATGATGGAACCTTCGAAATGGATGATTGTCTTGATGTGAAGCATGAAGAGGTGGTGTTTACATGTCTACAATGTGACACTGTCTTCTCCAATAAAGAAGATCTGGACGTTCATTTAAAGAAGCATGTAAAACTGAAAAAGATTAGTTGCAGTGCTTGTGGAAAAAAGTTTAGCAAATCGGCACATCTGAATAGGCATATGAGGAACACTCATATCAGTGAGAAACAATACAAGTGCACAATGTGTGATAAAGCTTTTCATAGGGCTGAACAGTTGAAAAACCACATGAATGGTCATACAGGGATGAAACCTCATGTCTGTGATACTTGTTTCAAAGGTAAGGTGAATCCATGAGTAACATTTTCAATCTCAGTAATCTCACCAGTTGGTGCTACTAAAACCAATTATAATGAGTTCATTGAATGAAACATGAGGTCAATGTCAAAGCCGAAAATTCCAATTCACTATAGAAAACACGTCGCCCCACCTCACGGCAGCAACTTGAACACTTCTGAGCGGTTTGTTTTGATGATATGACCAATGAGCACAAACAAAAAACAAATGTGAACCAATGAAAACAAAGTAAACATGCTGCTTTGACAGATGTTTGACAGCTTTCAAGAACTCCGATAGGTGGCGAACGTTTTATTTCTATAGTGAATATTCTGCCGGATAGCCCTGAATGCTATGGCCTGCTTTATCGGAAAATATTTCAACACAAGCTGTGAAATATTTGAACAAATAGAAAACCTCAATTTGTCAGAAAACTTGAGCATACTTACGTGTTTTTACTTCCAATGTGGAACACTACCAATGCTTACTTTGACGGAGAAGAAGATATCATAGGAAGGAACCAAATTACACGAGAAGAAGAAGTATATTTATCAGTTCTACCATCTCTGACCTCACGTTTCAGTAGCGTAGTTTGGTTGACAATAAATAATGTAAGCCCTCATTCAAAACTACCTGAATTGGGCCATCTAGAGTTAGGAGGAAAAAGAGACAGGGCGCAACAAATAAGCCATGCAGAAGCAATATCCTTTGGCTAACAAGCACATATACGTTGCATACTGTAAAGGGCGCCGTACAATCAGTGCTATTCTGTTTGCATATTGATATTAACCAGCAAGTTCGATGCAATGTAATTTTGAACCGAACAATGCGCATGCGTCTATGATATTTCACTGCAAGTTTCGTAAAAGAACCAGTCCTATTTTTCCTGCAATTTCAAGGCAAGTTTAGTAAAATTCTTAGTAATATTCATCGTAGCATCTTAATAAAATACAAATTTCTTCCATAACGTGGCCTGAAATGCCAAAATAACCTCAAAAAGTACATTGAAGGCTCAAAAAACCTGAAAATAGTGAATATGAACGAGAAAATATGACAGAAATATCTCAATGTATGGCGACTTGCAATAAAATGAGAAAATTGCGAGAAAATTGCATTGCCTCAAATTAAGAGAATAATCCTCATGCACAACACGGAATATTTATTGCATGGCATCCTTATCGCTCGGTGGTTCATTTCGGTATTGATGGAAGATTGATGGAAGTAAGATATGGTGTAATTACTGATTTTGTTTCAGAAATTTTACTTGACCTCTCGAGAACAGTGAGAGCGATGGTTCCGTCGATCTTCTAATAGATGGCGACATTGCACAATTATGATATCTGTCAGTTTTGAAATTGTCGCAGATTTTTCGAATTCAGAGTTGAATAATCCCACTGGTTCATATGTTCCCCGTGGCTAAAATGCCATTTGCCATTTTATTTTCACTCGTCACAGCAGCAATAGCAGCATCACCATCTAGCGGGAAAATGTAGAATGAACGTCTCCCTCGTTGTGGACGTAGAGAAATCATAGTAGGCGGTCGAGTGATTTTTATGAAATTTTCAATACGTAATAATGGCCGAATGCGCGCACCATATCTTACTTCAATCATTGATGGAATTAAGATATGGTGTAATTACTGATGTGCTTTTGTTTCAGAAATTTTACTCGACCTCTCGCGAGAACAGCGAGAGCAATGGTTCCGCCAATCTTCTAATAGATGGCGACATTGCACTATTATGACATCTGTCAGTTTTGAAATTGTAGCAGACTTTTCGAATTCAAAGTTGAATAATCCAACTGATACATATTTCCACTCGTCACAGCAGCAATAGCATTATCACCATCTAGCAGGAAAATGTAGAATTAACGTCTCGCTCGTTGTGACGTAGAAAAATCATAGTAGGCGGTCGAGTGATTTTTCTGAAATTTTCAATACGTAATAATGGCCGAATGCGCGCACCATATCTTACTTCCATCATTATTTCGGTATTGGTATTGAATTTCTGCCTAGCAGAAAGATGAAATGAAATAGGATCACTGTTCGAATAGAAAAGTAGGAAGGGTGTCAAGAGTGACAGTTTGACAGTGACTGCCACATTCAGTTGGATGTTGAAATTCACGTGTCACATTCTCTATAGAAACTATATTTTTATATTTGTACTAGTGGTATTACCACCATTGTTCCCCACACAGCTCATGATGATTATAGCAAGAATTTGTTCGCTTTCTTTTCAATAGGCCAATGGGATGAGAATACACTATACGAAAGGCACGCATGTGAACACGCATCTAGGATACATTGACGATAACGTCAAGATATATTTGAAGAGGGCGCTGTATTTCGTCCAAAATGACCATTAAAAAACATAGGTTATAGGTTATTGTAGGGACCTGTTTCAAATCTACAGATTCAACTTGAGGAATATTAACATTTGATCAATTATGGTTGTAGAAATGTTCCCAATCACTGCTTTCAAAAATAGGAACTCACATAATATGTTATGTTCATGATCCGAAGTCTCTAAAACAAAGTACTGATGTTTATATGAAATCCAAAAGTGGCTAATCTGTCAATACTAATTACCGATAATAACTCGAATAAGAATATTTTATGATTCACATAATCCTCTCAGGCATGATGAAAATAGACTGGCGTTACCACTTGTCAATTGTTTTTTTCCAAAACGTGTAGACCGCGAAACACCGTAGCAAGCCGCACCGGATTGATTGTAGATGGCGTAGGAAACATCGTGCCACATAAACTTCACAGATATAATGAAAATTTCACGCCTTTTTCATTAAATCAATCACTTTTTCTCAATGTTTTTGAATTACGAATTAATATACGTAAATGTAAACAACAAAACAAAACAACCATTGTGTAGCAAGATCACTTCGGGAATAGCGCCATCTAGCGTTAGTTTTGCGCGGCCTTACTACGGTGATAGAATTCAACATAATCAAGTAGGCCAGAGGTCTACAAAAATTTCTAGGGTTTTGTAAGAGGGAACTATTTCACCATACAGATATCTACCTTTCTCTCAGGTTTCAATCAAATTTCGAACTTGAAAGACCACATGCGCACCCACAATGGGGAGAAACCGTTCCTATGTTCGACTTGTGGCAAAGGCTTCAATCAACTGGGCAACCTTAGACAGCATTCAGTCAGACATAGTGGGGTGAAAGCTCATCTCTGCAACACTTGCGGGAGCCGGTTTGCTAGCAAAGGAGAACTGTCTGCCCATCTCAGGAAACACACAGGTTGGTTCTTCATAATAGCTATTATCCTCGTGTGAATCAGGTTTCCAACAATTGTTGCCAGACTTATGTTATCAATTCGTTGAAGAATCACACGTCAATTTCACGTCATATACGCGTCACCAATTACGTCAAGATGACCAAATTATCGACATGAAATAGACGTAAATGTGACGTCAATATGTCACATCGAAACGACGTCATTTAGCGACGTCGTTACAACGTCATTTAGCGACGTCGTCTACACGTCGATTAGTTTCCAAGCATCAGGTCCAGGTTTCGACATCACAAAGTAAATGTGATACTCGAAATCACTTTCCCATGATCCTATTCCTTGATGGTTGGCAAAACAGTTCAAATGATCTAGTTACAATAGTTGTGGATATTCTTTATTTGTTTACATAATTATACATAGGTATTCTTTATCTGAATAAAACTAATAAGCATAAAATCCACTATATTCCATAGTATATAGACATAAACGAAGATGTCAAGTTTCAAAGGAAACTCAACCTAATAACCTCAAATTATTCTTGTACCTACGATTTAAGGTATTTATAGATTACCTTCTTCAAATAACGACCTCACTACATCAAACAACTTCCAAGTTTCATTTGTAGATTTCGCTTTCTTAATTATTGACCTGTTGAAAAAATCTTGCTGTTTGAAAGGCGGCCACTACACTTCGCAGCCTTAGGAGACGTCATGGCGTCAACTATACTTCTACTGAACGGGAGCAATGCCTTTCCTCGGAATATTGTATTCCCACAAACATTTCTACTGCCTGGAATTGATAAAATAACCAGCGAACTGCAATATATTGCTGAACCCCACTTTTCGATAGTATCCTTGTTTTCCATGACCCGAAATCACGAATCCGCCATTACAAAATTCGATGAACTTCATCACGCATGCGCATGATTACGACAAACTGTGCTACGATCGACGATGGCCGATAGGGGTAGCGGTGGCACTGTGCGAAACGATCGAAGACACACGAAGCCACGGAGCACCAATCATAAGCATCTGTATGTCTTGACGTGGTGCGCCAATATAAAATATGAAGGCACCTGGTATATATGACCGTATTTGTATACAAATAATAAATTCTTGAATCTTTCGTATCTGTTTCCAAGTTATCTCTATCAGGGTGTTTTTATTAATATTTGTTCGACATATTTCACCACTTAGTTTTATCCATGTCGGGTATACGTGAATCCTTTACTAAAGGTAGGTACCTATTTTATTTTGATAAGCGTTTCATCATGAGTCCTGGATATGCGCAGTTCATGGAGTAATTTCTTCGAAATAAAACAACATGATTTGTGCAGATGTTACGTCTAAATGACGTCAAATATGACGTCTATCAGATACGTTTTTGGAACACGTCAAAATGACGTCAATTATTGGTCGAATCTTGACGACGACCAATTGCCACCTATTATCCACGTCGATTCGACGAGAATTGACGTCACCATGCTGGCTGGGATCTGTCGTAAATTCGACTAGTGTGTATAACCCTATTCAACTAAAAAAAATATTTGAATATATTTGTGCTAGATTTGTTTGTTGTATTTTGATAGGTGCGCGACCCTTCGTATGCACAGTCTGTAATCACGGTTTCACCACCTCTAGCTCCTTGACCAAACACAAACGGATCCATTCCGGGGAGAAGCCTTACGAATGTGACACTTGCAAAATGAAGTTTTCCCGTTCGGGAATCCTGGCGCGACACAAAAGGACACACACTGGAGAAAAACCATACAAATGCAAGGTAGGACAAAGGACAAGAATAGTTTTTCAGCTGAGCAGTACCCTGAGCAGTACAGGCTATCCCATTTTGTTGTTGTTGTTCTTTATTACCCCAAGAAACACATTTGTTTGATAGACAGCGAAAAAACGTGTTTATATGACGAGGTGGTTCGTCGGAGACTATAGTTTCAATTCAACATAAACCAATATTCAACACTATTCAATTTTTTAGACTATAAATGCGGTTGACCCAATTATAGTAGGTGGCTTTGAAAAAAAACGAGTGTAAAATGTTTTCTGATCCTTGTCACCAACCTGTCGAATTTACAATTTTTTCATACGATGGCGAACACTAATCTAGGATATGAAAACTACTAAAAATCAGATATGGTCGGGATATAAGTTGGTTCCACAATTTTCGTATAGTTTTGATATCTCCTGGAGGCTGGATTATGATTTGACGCATGAAAAATTTGAGATATAGAACATTCTGAACTCGCTTAGTTTTCATAGCCACCAACTAATTAGGTCCACGGCTTTTATATTCAATAAACAGTGCATAGGATCTTTTTGGCCTAACATCATAGTTTCCGGGAGTTCGCTGCATCCTGGGCTCCACCACTATGGATTACCGGAAATTTTCCCCACGTTGGGCGCCAAGTTGCATAGGATCTTTTTCTCAGGGTTGATTTACTCATGGGGTTCTAGCCAATTCGGAACGATAACCATCAGTGAGCATGAAATACCCAGGTTGCAACAAATTCACCAGGCCTTTAATATCACAGAATGCTATATACAGAGTGGTTTTTATTTCTAAAACTGGAATTCACGACTTAAATCTGAAAATGGTAATTTCAAGATTAATTAATGAAAACATCCTGTAACTCATTTGATTGCCAACGTCACCAATTGTCACTGAGAACTGAAAAATTTCAAGAAAGATTCGAATTTGCAATTCAAACAACCATTTTTTATGCTGGAAACGGGAGTAGATTCGTTCCCGAAACTTCCAAAGCTATGCCTTTATTTCTCTTCTCCAAACCTTTTTCGATACAAATTGTCACTGACAAGCTGGTGAATTTATCTTTTAGGCTCTCTGATAGGAAAATTCTTTAAAGGCAGTGACATTTTGGGGCAAATCATCTGATTTGTCCTTACTCACTCACTGCATAGAAAGTTAGCGTTGGCTCCCTTATTTCAGGACACGAACATGTCAATTTACTCCCACGGAAGGAAAAAAATATTACCTCCCTGGGGAGGTGAAATGAATTGGCTTCAGCATGCTTCTAAGATTTGTGCTACCCAAGTACCTAATCAGTGTGTCCATCACTACTATGAAACGAATAACAATTTCATTTTCCAATGATCTCATATATTTACTTCCTCATATAACACTCAATCGAAACTTTAAATATAATGCAATAAACTAATTCAATGTGACAGAAGTGTCAATGTCAAATTGATTTTCGTTCTGTAACCTTAGATCATGTAACATATTGATTTGGATCGAGACTCGAGAGATAGACCGCTTGAAGCACAATTTTAAGTACGACGCTCTCAAATATTATGTGTTCGTGAATAAAATCATATATATATCTTGGGAGCAAACGTTATTATTTTATAGAGACGAGGAGAGAAAATCCCAAAGAATATGAAATAATGAATGTACCACCTCCTCGATTAACCTACAGACTTCAAAATTCATATTTGAATGTTTATAATTATATTTGACGGAATGGATGAAATTTAATATTTCGAATTTGTTAATGGAGTTGATATCTAACGATTGAATATCACGTTCAGTACTGCGACAAGGCGTTCGCCCAATCCAACGACATGATCTCGCACCAGCGCATCCACACCGGCGAAAAACCCTTCATTTGCGACGAGTGCGGCCAAGCCTTCCGCCAAAGTTCGGCCCTCAAGACGCACAAGAAGACGCACTCGAGCAGAGGCGCGGAGGAGGAGGAAGACGTGGAGGAGGAGGAGAGGGCGGGGCGCGGCAAGGTGAAGCCGAAGCCGATCCTCGTCGCGGGGGTGTTCAACGCTGATTTTTTGCCGGGGTTCTAGCGTTTCGGAACGGTGCGTTATGGAAAGGTAATAATTGAATATTCCAGTATATTGGTCATACCGCGGTAGCATATAGTTTCATTTATACAGTTGGGATCATGTGGTTACTACTTTTAATAATGATTCATTATGAAATTCGAATTGGGCGTTGAGTTTTGCTTCGAAAAAGATGAAAAATGGCTTACTCGGTCGGAGTCACGTGATTTTCGCTACATGTCAAAAGTTAAATTTTTCAAAATTAACCGTTGAAAATAGGCTTATTTGTTCGACTTCCGAAGAAGATTATTGAAAATAGTTGTTTCTATTCCAATTTTACACATATGCCTCGAATTTGAACTTTCTATTGCAACTTTTAGTTCTTGATATTTTTTGATTTCTTCCAATTATTCGACGAAATTGTCCGGAAATTCGGTTAAATACGTGAAATAGTTTGATGATATTTTGATAGATGATTTTGGCATCATTTTAGTTCTTGAAAAATCAATCTAAATGAATTTCGCTCCTGAATGATAGGTGATACATCAACTTTACATCAAACACAAGGTGGATAGATATAGTGGGAGTTATTATCTTCTGAAGAAATAGTGAATTATACATCAAGGGACAAAAATGCAAGATTTTTTCCAAGGTGCGATTTGTAGCTTGAGGGCGGCTTCTGTATTGGTTCGATTAAATTTAGTAAACAAAAAAATATCGCTGTTGAGACAGAACGACTCAGGGATGTTTTGTTTGGGGTGCAGAAATCACGAGCTTGGGGGTTGGATCGAGCTTTATTTACCCTATGTTGGGTTACTTACAGAGCTTTGGCATAAACCAGTACTGAAATTAATAAGCCGCGTCACTAAGTGTGAAAAATAGTACTTTGGAGGACCTCAAAAAATAACCTAACCGCCTCAGAAAGAGGGAACATTCAATATCAAAGATCTTACCTGAAATTAATAACACCAGGTACACTAATTAATCACAAAATGTAGTAACAAATTAGACCAATTCGGTAACCAACAGGGCTGCTATATGCAACTTCAGCACTGATAAAAGCGAAACTGAAATAGTTCGAGAATTAAAGCGATATCCAACCGGCCTTTAGCAATTAGAACAAAAACTGGGCCTAGAAGACCAAAAAACCGCTACCTAAATATACGATACGGCCTGAAATTGAACATACAGGGCGAACGACAGCGTATTCCGCTTCAACTACCCCCCGAAGCTGGCAAAACGCATACTTGCGAGGTGGCGGCTTCCTTCGCACGATGAAACACTTTCAAGTGGCTGGCATGGAAAATCCCTCGTTCGACGCCACTGGTGGGGTCTACTAAAACGTACGTCGCGTAGCTGATAATTTTTTTAATTTTATACGGGCCCTCGAATAATAAGAGAAACTTTTTCGTTTCCGAGTTGATGGCCGTAGACTTCGGATTAGCCCTCAATAAAACTAAGTCTCCTGAATCAAATGCTCTATAGGGTTTACCCGGATTATTAATTCTTCGGCGAGCCGCTTTACCCTCTAATGTCTCTTTAGCGATGATCATTTTGTCACTGGAACTGATGAAATCAGGGTTTGGTGGTCGAAGCCGAGGTGGGAGAAGATTTTCGCGGGGTCGACCAAATTGAAGTTCGTTGGGGGTAAAACCGGTAGCCTCATGTACAACATTGTTCAAAAAGTTTCCAAACTTTACAACTTCGAAAGCCCAACGAGTATGTTTACCTTGACAATAAACACGAAATAATCGACCTAGCTCTCTCATAACTCTCTCAGAGGGGTTGGCCTCTGGATGGCGTACGGAGGTATATATGACTTGAATATTTAGCACATTCAACGCGGTTTTCCACTTAGGGGAAGAAAATTGCGTTCCGCGGTCGGACAAGATTTTTTTGGGAAGCCCGCAATTTGGAAAATAATCCACGGTTAACCGATTTAAGCATGAACGAGTAGTCGCAGTTCTGAGCGGATAAAGAACCACATGTTTGGTAAAAATATCAACAACAACTAAAATGTAACAAGCACCTGCACGACTACGCGGAAGGGGTCCGAATAGATCCAAAGCAATAATATCCCCCTTGAACTCTGCCAAAATAGGATGCTGCGCTGGCTTAGGTAAAATAGAGATTTTCGACTTTTGGCAAATTTCACATGTTCTTACAAACCGTTTGACGTCCCGCGACAGGTTTGTCCACCAGACCTCGCGCCTCAATGCCGACCAACATTTGTATGCGCCGAAATGCCCTAGGGATTCGTGAAACGCTTCGATGAATTTGTCCCGGAGAGCTAGCGGGACACATAGTAAATAATTTTCGGCATCACTTTTCCGATGGTAAAGAACATCATTATGAATGTAAAATTTTGCCCGAAGGGAGGCTTCCGTTATCAGAGAATCGCGGATATCTTTCAATTTGACGTCTTCCAGTTGATATCGAGTGATATCTTTCAGAATATGACGAAAATTTTCCGGTAGGCTCAAGTTCAAAACCCGAAAAGACTTATCGTTGGGGGTAGGTAACCTGACACAGGCATACCGAGATAGACAATCAGCGATGACATTGTCTATGCCCCTAATATATTTTATTTGAAAGTCAAATTCTTGGAGAGCTAAGGCCCAACGAGTAACACGTGGGGAGAGCAATCGACAAGTGTTCAAATATGTTGTCGCTTTATTATCGGTATGGACAAAAAAATCACGTCCCAAAAGGAAAACTCGCCAAGTATTCAAGGCGAACACTAAGGCTAAGACCTCTTTTTCAAAACTACAGTATCGCTTCTCGCGTTCTAATAATAATCGACTACACCAAGCTACAACTTTTCGTTTATTTTCCACTATTTGGAAAAGTTGCGCCGCAATACCGACGTCACTGGCGTCAGTTTCAACATGAAAAACCAAATTAGGGTCTGGGTAATATAATAGGGTAGCATCTTTTAATTCCGATTTTACGCGATGGAATGCATTATGCTGTGCTTGTCCCCACACCCACGGATTCTTTTTCCGAAGAAGAAACGTTAAAGGCTCGGTATATGATGAAAATTTTGGACAGAAGGTACGGTCATACTGACAAAGTCCGAGAAATTTTTGAAGTTGTTTTACGTTTTGTGGTACTTTGTAATCAATTATCGCTTGAACTCGGTTCGGATCTGGTCGAAAACCCTCTTCGTCCAAGACATAACCTAGAAAATTCACCTGCCTACAGCAAAAATTACATTTTTTCAATTTTATGGTTAGGCCCGCCTGACTCAACCGCGAGAAAACCAACTCTAAATGCCGCAAGTGTTCTTCAAAAGTATCGCTTAAAATCAACAAGTCGTCGAGATATGGCACTAAAAAATTAGAGAACTCAATACCGAAAATCTGGTCGATACACCTAGTAAACGAGGAGACGGCGTTAACCAACCCGAAAGGGATGACGTTAAAATAGTAGCTTCGATTACCGAAAATGAAACCCGTATATTTTCGGCAGTCAGGCCTGAGCGGAATTTGCCAATATGAATTATTTAAATCCAAAATACTCTTGAATTTGAATCCAGTCATACTGCGCATTATTTCGTCAATTCGACGAGGAAGTTCATGGTCTTTTTCCGTTATGGAGTTCAGTTTCCGAGCGTCTAAGCAAACTCTCACAGAACCATCTTTTTTTTAATGTTGTCATAAGCGGTGATATAAAAGGAGTTGCGCCCCGGGAAATTACCCCCCATTCTTCCATTTGATCGACCGTTTTTTGTACCGCCTCGCGGTGAGCAAACGGTACCGGGTACGGCTTGACAAAAAAACCGCTTTCATCATTTACTTTAATGACATGCTCATATAAGCTGGTTAAACCCGGCTTCCCGGAAAATATTTTATGATACTTTTGAATAAGTCCTGATAACGAACTATGCTGTAGATATAAATTGGGACTTTCCATCCGAAACAACATAATTTTCCGGTAGATGATTAAGAGTTACTTTTTTATCACAAACCGTTCGGATATTCAAAGAATCTGGTGGCCCTGATTCATGAAAAACAGGTACTTCAGGTAAAGAGATTTTTTTATCACCGACAGTGAAAAAACATTTATCGTCAAGCAGTTCAATTTTCGCACTACATGCTCGCAAAAAATCGACGCCAAGTATAATGGGATATATTAACTTAGGTACCATTAAAAATTCGAAAATATATTCTTTTTCTAACATTGAAAAAGTTAACTCAACTTGTAAATTAACTCTCTGATGCTTAGATTTGAAAGCACCAGAAATTCTTACGCCACTACAAGGAAAATGCGGAATGTCCTCGTGAAAACCACTCAGTTGCGACCAGACTATATCAGAAAAACAACATACTTGGCTTCCGGTATCAATCAGTGCAGGAAAACTAAAGTTGTATATTTTAATTTCGATAACCGGTGATTGATCGTTAGATAAAGAATGTTCGAAGTCACAATCATCAACTAATAAGCTTTCTCGAGGATTATTCTCGATAATTTCGGCCTTACGCAACGCAGTTACCTCAGGCCGTCCTGGTAACTGGTTGAATCGTTTCCCGATTCCTCAGCTTCATCCACTGTCACTAGGGAAATATTTTTAGGAAATCTCTCAATTTTAGAAGGATAATTATTTCTATTGTCAGAAGAATTAGAGTTTTTATTATCTCTATGGCCAGAGAAATTTGCTCTGTTGACAGGGCGATTTGCATTGATGGGGTTACCATTTAAATTATGATAATATATATCAGCTCTCCTCAAATGTTCGAGAGCTTGAGGAAAATTATCACACTGTAAAAGTAAAAGTGAAACATGAGGTGGTAAAGTTCTCGAAATACATGCTAGAAGCATTCTGTCCGGATAAGGTGGGTCTAAGTGTTTAGCCAATACTAAGAAACTGTTGAAAAAATCTACAAATGATTCTCCCTCTCTATATATTCGTGTTTCCAATTTAGTTCTAGCATGCCATTGAGAGTTATCATCCCAAAAATGTTGCAAAAAATTCGATTTAAATTGTGCATAATTTGAAAACTTGGGCAGAAAAGCGTCGGCCCATAATTTGGCAGAATTTTTGAAAGAATCCGCCACCAAGTACTTGAAGTGCTTATAATCAACCATTTCAACATTGAAGCCATCTTGTAGTTGATTCAGAAAATCTACCGGGTGGATAACGTTAGGGTCAAAAATAGGAATTTTTTTGTTGGTTGCAGAAAGGCTATTACATAGATAATTATTGCTATCCCTATTCGTATTTTCAGAAAACTGATGTTGATCAACATTATTGGAACAACTATTATTATTCAAGTTTTGATTTTGCAATTGTTGTATTGTTTGACTAACGAGTTGAGTAATTGCTTCCGGCGTAATCAAAAAATGTTGATTCGAGGGTGCTTGTGCCGTTGGTACATTCATGTTGAAGGGTTGACTTCCTTGAAAAGCGTTTGGTGGTGGATGATGCCTCTCCCATTCAAATGTGGGATTATTTGGAACTTGTTCCCCCTGAGGTTGTTGGGGTGGCATACTTTCTGGTATAGGTGCAGAGAAATAAAGAGGAACGCTCCTACCTTGAGTCATATTCGGCCTTGGCGGGCTTACGTTGGTGCTGTTCCTCAGATCTGCCACCCTCGACGGGGGAATGGACGAGTTTCTTAGAATCCTCCTCCTCAGATTGTAGACTGATCCAGGTGTACTTCCCTCCATAGCTCACAATTGCCAGCAAGTTGGGTGCCAAGATGAGACAGAACGACTCAGGGATGTTTTGTTTGGGGTGCAGAAATCACGAGCTTGGGGGTTGGATCGAGCTTTATTTACCCTATGTTGGGTTACTTACAGAGCTTTGGCATAAACCAGTACTGAAATTAATAAGCCGCGTCACTAAGTGTGAAAAATAGTACTTTGGAGGACCTCAAAAAATAACCTAACCGCCTCAGAAAGAGGGAACATTCAATATCAAAGATCTTACCTGAAATTAATAACACCAGGTACACTAATTAATCACAAAATGTAGTAACAAATTAGACCAATTCGGTAACCAACAGGGCTGCTATATGCAACTTCAGCACTGATAAAAGCGAAACTGAAATAGTTCGAGAATTAAAGCGATATCCAACCGGCCTTTAGCAATTAGAACAAAAACTGGGCCTAGAAGACCAAAAAACCGCTACCTAAATATACGATACGGCCTGAAATTGAACATACAGGGCGAACGACAGCGTATTCCGCTTCACTGTGATACAGAAGAAACCGTGAAAATGGACATCAATTTGAACAATTCAATGAATAAGTTACTGAATAATTTCGTAATTCAATTGTTTTAGTCAATATTAAATCAGATGCTTATTACTGTTTATTTGTTGCTATCAGGAAACTAAGTTCTGTGTTTTGTTAGCTGATAAGTGTGGGTATTGTTTTTGTCCTCTTTTCATGGAGAAATCAAAGGAAATATTCCTTCAATTGGAACTTTTTTTATATAAATAATTCAGCCAATCCGTTTAAAGTCCAATGTTTCAGTGATTTTGGAGCGTTATTGAGATTTTTATATCTTTACATTATTCAGTGTGTCCCACTTACCATGCTCACCATGGGTATCTTTTTAACGTTGAGAGATACGAGGTCGGTTAAATGACACCAAATGTGGAGTTTGTCAAGGCCAACTATAATGTGAAGAAATATTTTGATAAAATCTATTCGTTTTCGTTTTATACGCAAAAAACAGATTTTGATCATTTTCATGTCTCCTCCGTAACTTCTTTATTTATGAAAATATTCAAATAGGAATTTCACATTCTCATGGCAGTTTTTCAAAGTGATTTCGAAAAAAATATGGAATTTATACCAACTGTTCTAGAATTTGAGATATCAGCACCAACTTTAGTTTTTCAAATGTAGGTCATAGCTCACTATGATTTAGTTACAAATAACTTTTTCTTCTCTTACAGATGATATGTCGCAGTAATAGTTTTGTGTTGATAACAACGGAGTTATCGTCATTTATACAAAAACAAAAAATTATTCGGAAGCCGCCATCTTGAATTTATGAATTTTAACAAAAAATCATGATCTCCGACCTCAAAAACCCCCACTTACCAATTTTGAATGGAATCGGACCAAATCTTGTCCGCCATCTTGGAGCAGCCATTTTTTTTAAATTCAACAAAAATTCAATAACTCCGATTAACTTGAAATTTGGCAGGTGTTCATAATTTCGGTGACAATACATTATGTAATGTTTGTTGTCTTCTCATACAATGATAATTTGACTTCCTATGTTTGTATAAATAACTTAATTTTAAATCATTGCAATATTATGTTAATATTATAATTTTGTAATTGTCGATATAATATTTATGTTTGTATATTAGGGTTTCCTATTTCCAATAAAGATTATTATTATTATTATTATATTAAATTAAAAAAAATGGCTGCTCCAAGATGGCGGACAAGATTTGGTCCGATTCCATTCAAAATTGGTAAGTGGGGGTTTTTGAGGTCGGAGATCATGATTTTTTGTTAAAATTCATAAATTCAAGATGGCGGCTTCCGAATAATTTTTTGTTTTTGTATAAATGACGATAACTCCGTTCTTATCAACACAAAACTATTACTGCGACATATCATCTGTAAGAGAAAAAAAAGTTATTTGTAACTAAGTCATAGTGAGCTATGACCTACATTTGAAAAACTAAAGTTGGTGCTGATATCTCAAATTCTAGAACAGTTGGTATAACTTTCATATTTTTTACGAAATCACTTTGAAAAACTGCCATGAGAATGTGAAATTCCTATTTGAATACTTTCATAAATAAAGAAGTTACGGAGGAGACATGAAAATGATCAAAATCTGTTTTTTGCGTATAAAACAAAAACGAATAGATTTTATCAAAATATTTTTTCACTTTATAGTTGGCCTTGACAAACTCCGCATTTGGTGTCATTTAACCGACCTCGTATCTTTCACCGTTAAAAAGATACCCATGGTGAGCATGTTAAGTGTGACACACTGTATATCATTTTGAAAGAAAAAATAAAACAAAGGAATTTAATGAGCTGATCAAATACAGTGTGTTCCATTTAAAAAATCATAAAAAAATCTAGTGCACCACTGGATTCTGCGTCAAATTCTTTATGGGCTAAGATTTTGATTTCACATATTTGCTGAGAAACTTCGTAGATAGAGAGGGGGTCCAAAAAGTATGAATTTCCAAAATCGCCCTGTATTTCGAAAACGGAAACAGTTATGCAAAATCTGATTGGGCAATCTTCAGTTTCACAAAAAAGTGGCACAGGACTGCGAAAACTGGAAAGTTTTATCTCCAAAGATAACTGAGATATCACGCAAAATCATCGAAAACTAGACACAATGTACATTTTGCTCTAGACATTTTGATTGTTGATGATGTACTTACCTATCAATGTCATTTTACAGGTAGAGCTGCGAGGAAATGTACTTGATGAAAAAGTGAACAAAGAGAGGATACCATTGAGGATATTTCATTTAAATACATTTGTTTCAGTAGGAATATGAATAGATGTTTACATTTTGTATTATATTATTTCTAAGTATTATACATTTTTATTATGTTGATTATTTTGTGCTCTCATTCAGACTGTTTCTGATTGTTTTTCACTGTGAAAGTAATTGACTGTAACCATTTTTATACCATAATTTGTGATAATATATATATATTTCCTACCCCTTCTACCTTATTGTCATTTTCATTACTATTAAAACCCACAAATTATGTATATTTTTTTGAGCATAAAAATAATGATCACTTGAAAAACTTTGCAGTCATGATAATTTTGAGCTAAAAGGTATACAATCAATGTGAGAATACAGGCACACTTGACAAAAGTAAATAAATTATTATGAAGTAATTTCGTCAGTAATATTTAATTTATTTTCTTATTTTTAATCCAATCGCAAATAAATCAGTATCGTTAGATTCGTCAAAATATCCTTTTTTTCGGAAAGTACTAGTCAAAAAATGGTTAGACACGAAAATTTAATTTTGCCAACTTGTCTCATTCATATCTATCATACTTCCTGAGGTCCTTTTAGATTAGTTTACTTCCGATCATGGCCACCTAGATGTAATTTCAAAAGTGACTACGAAAAAATTAAGTGGGTAAAAATACTTTCGAAAATGTCACATTCTGATCTAGAATTGTCTCAGAAATCCAAAAATGTTACAATATACAGGGTGTTCCATTTAAAAATTTAGAACCGGAGCCATTTTCGGTGAAACCGGAAGTGACCGAAAAGTGAAAAATATGTGAAAACTCTCCTCTACACATACCATTTACCCAAGGTGGATCTATCCACCTTTCATTTACCTATACCAAATCTCATTTTGATACACCTCATGGTCTAGAAGTTATGCCTTGTCTAATAGATTCGTTGACACCCGGTATATCCATTATTTCATGTTCATATGATTTCTCTGAGAATATTCATTTTCAATACTTTCACCCAATCAAGGGGTTCAAACTTGACCGATGGAAACTTGTTATTTTTGTATATAGCCTCAATCGCAGTTTCGTGATTAAGTTTTCTCAATTCAGAATTTTTTCCACGTCCTGTGTATGATGAATATCAATCTGACATATATCCAAAAATCGATAGAGAAGTTTTTTACATGAATCACCATGTGAGTTATACTCGATGACGCGAATGTAAGATCTCAGAGATGTCAAAGGCAAAGGATGGAGAATGTGTTTGCTTTTTTTTGTTCTGGTTCTCACGATCCCTTTTCAAGGAAAATGAGGTAGGAATTGGTGTTCGTCTTGAATTTCTGGAGGTTATATACCTCGGAGAACACCTCCCTTAGCAATATGTTCCAGAGCCTAGCTGTTCGTTGGATGAACGAGTCTTTGGAATGAGATGTTCTGCAGATCTGCAAAGTGACCACAAAGGGGTGCGAAGCCTCAACTCGACGGGTTAATCTCGAGGGGACTGCCAAGGGAGGAACAACAATTTTTGATATTTCAGAAGAGCATCGCCCATGAAAATATCTATAAAATAGAGCCAGATCGACAACTTTTCTACGGTGTTCTAGAGAAGTGAGTGAGTGTGTGAGCGAGGCATCACCCACCCAGGCAACCAGATGACGTTCCAGTGACGTCTTTTTTACGTCACTTGGATGACCAAGGTGACGTCTGTAGTTGACGTCGCATTGACGTGATAATGACGTGAATAAGTCACAGCCCAATAACGTCATATTACTCACGTCGTATTGACGTCATTCACTCACCAAACTGTGACGTCCGATTGACGTCATAATGACGTCAAAATGACGATAGAATTTTGCGATGATACCTAAAAAAGATTTCCTTCAATATGGTGTGATTAACACCAATAGCCTCTGATGACATTATATAATATTGATTATGCATTGTCGAGAGTCTGCTTGGTGGGTCCCTCCTGTGTCATGTACATTCAATCGCCTATTCAGCAGCGCCATCGTTCAGTACGCATCTCCATCAGAATGCAATCAGTTACTCGTATTTGTATCAAAGATAATGTATAGTTTGTGTTGGCGAGATGTAAGCAAACAGAGAATAGTTTGATAGCAATGGAAAGGATGTTGGCGAATTTGTCTTCACTTTGTGGAATAATGTATATTGATGCATTCTTTGTCACCCAACAATTTGAATTGTAAGTTATTGAAAAATTTCCTCATTGTCGAAGCTCACCAAATTGGTACGTCACACCGACGTGATTTTTAGACGTCATAGATACGTCACTAAACGTCATAAGAGTAACGGTTTCAATATATTGGTATACCTGAACAATCATTTTTATATATACATAGCTTGTTGGTTTCCGAGATATACAGCGTGTGTCAAAGTTTTTTTTAGAAGAAAGTTTTTCAATTACTTTTCAGGTATATATTAATAATTATAATAAAACTTGCATGTTGATTCGCTTTCATGAGATATACTTCTGTTTCACATGATAATATATAAGTGTCCATGGTTTAGAGAAGGTCTGGAAAAACTGGACGTCGACAGGACGTCCCTGCAACGTCATGAAACTGACGTCTTCTTTTACCCATCCAACTGACGTCCACTCGACGTCGAAACGATGACGTGATTATCAGTTCATAGAAAGTACGTCATAGTGACGTCATAAAATGGTGTGTGACGTCTCTGACGAAAAATCACCAATTAGGGACGTCATAGTGACGTGATCATTCGTCATCTGGTTGCCTGGGCCACGAGACGAATGGCCCTTTTTCGGGCAGAATCCAACAGTTTCAGGGTATTTCTAGGTGCTGCACTCCAAATATGGGAACAGTATTCCAGGGCAGGTCGGATCTGTCCCTTATAGATCATAAGCAGCTGACTGGAAGTGAAATAGCTCCTGGCCCGAAACAGAAAACCAAGTTTTTGGGATGAACTTTTAGCAATTGATCTCACGTGATATTCTCAAGAAAGGTTTATTGCTGATAGTAATACCAAGCCTTGAAATAGATGTCTTCAAAGGTATGGTTACTGCTCCTGAAAAGCTTATGTTGGGCACAGTGAGATCGGCTTTTCTGAAGAAAAGGCATGCTTGTGTTTTGTTTCCATTGAAATCTACCAAGTTATTAGAAACCTCAAATCTAGGTCCTCGATTGTAACGCCACTGTAACTGCACATGAACAATGAACATGCGTTATCCTTCTTCATCGGTCACGTTGCATACAGCGTGAGCCCACATTACTCGATACCTCACTGCCGGCTGCCATCTCTCTCACTCCCAGCCATCGTTGATTACCTCCATCTCTCCCGTATATGCGTTCTCCTTGATTTCGAGGATTCCGTGATTTTCAGTTGATGACGTAAAACCGTAGTCTCATATGTGTTTTCTTCCGTTTAGTGCCAGTAACTGGAAAGAGGATATCGCGCCTGCATTTCACGATAAGAGGAAACGCATACGTTCCTTGCTATGACTGTGAGTAGATTTTCAATTCCTGTATACAGGATGTTTCGAAATTCGATTGGCAACGTTTGACAGGTGATAGCTCTCGTGATTTAAAAAAATATGTCTATTTTGGGACACCCACTATAATCGAAACTATTTTCATGGTATGCGCCTTATGAGACAATTCAAGTCTGCAGATTATCAAAATCCTGACTCAACTGATAACTGAGCTATAGAAGACGGGATGTGAGATGCAGCTAGGACCCTGTATATGTCGACTTTTCCTGTAATTTCAGTATTTTTTTCGGCTTGAGCAACTATAACTTCTCCATCTCGTGAGGTGCTCCGTATCTCGCCTTTTTTCCGAAATGAAAAACTGAAACCACTTGATTGCACCACACAAAAACCATACAAAAAACACGAAACCATTTTTTTTTCAAATCGCTTGCAACGATCACCGAATTATTAGGTGAAAATTACCCGGTAAGTAGAGCATACGAGTTTTTTAAACGGCGCTTCAAAAACAAATTGTGTTTTGAGAACTAATAGCGACATTCGGAAAAAACTATTCTACATTGTCGTCCTAAAATCAAGTTAGGATTTGCACCTTTCATTTTTGTCAGAGAAGTCTGTTCCTGTAATGTAACATCAATATTTTGGCGAAGGTGCGGTACCAGACATCACATGTCAAACACAGGGGTGTATAATTTGCTGACCAGAATCAAAGTATGCTGACAGAGCATTTCTGATTAGAATTTTCTCTTCAAATTGCATATTTAAATATCTTATATAGATATATAGATGCCACCAGTGGAATTATTCCGATCCACCCTTTCAGAGGGGGGTAGTTTAATCTTGCAGTTTTTCAAAAATCCTTGTTGACCGAGCTTTTCTGGTGCGTATTTTTTCATCAAATCATATATTCGAATATATAATATAGATATATAGATGTCACCAGTAGAATTATTTCGATCCACCCTTTCAGAGGGGTAGTTTATTCTTGCAGTTTTTCAAAATTCCTTGCTGACCGAGCATTTCTGGTTCGTATTTTTCCATTAAATTACATATTTGGATATCTCATATAGATTAATAGATGCCACCAGTCCAATTATTCTGATCCAACCTTTCAGAGGGGTAGTTTTTATTCTTGCAGTTTCTCAAAATTCCGTGCTGACCGAGTATTTCTGGTTCGTATTTTTCTATCAAATTACATGTATGGATATCTCATATGGATTGGAAGGACCCCATTAGAGGGATAGTTTTTTCGTGCAGTTTTTCAAAAATCCTTGCTGGCCGAGCATTTCTGATCAGCATTTTTCCACTCAATCACATATTCGGATATCTTATAGATGCCACTAGTAAAATTATTTCGATATACCCCTTCAGAGGGGTAGTTTATCCTTGCAGTTTGCAGTTTATCAAAAATCCTTGCTGACCAAGCATTTCTGATTCGAATTTTTTCTTCAAATTGCATATTTGAATATCTTATATAAATATGTAATTTGATGAAAGAATACGAACCAGAAATGCTCGGTCAGCAAGGATTTTTGAAAAACTGCTGGAATAAACTACCCCTCTAAAGGGGTAGATCGAGATGATTCCACTGGTGGCATCTTTTAATCTATATGAGATATTCAAATATGTAATTTGATGGAAAATACGAACCAGAAATGCTCGGTCAGCAAGGATTTTTGAAAAACTGCAAGAATAAACTACCCTTCTGAAGGGGTGGATCGAAATTATTCCACTGGTGGCATCTATATACCTATATAAGATATTCAAACATGTGATTTGATGGAAATATACGGACCAGAAATGCTCGGTCAGCAAGTATATTCGAAAAACAGCAAGCATAAAGTACCCTTCTGAAGGGGTGGATCGAAATAATTCCACTGGTGGCAAATCTATATGAGATATCCAAATATGTAATTTGATGGAAAAATACGAACCAGAAATGCTCGGTCAGCAAGGATTTTTGAAAAACTGCAAGATTAAACTACCCCTTTGAAGGGGTGGATCGGAATTATTTTACTGGTGGCATCTATACAGAGTGGGCCGTTGAAAACGAAACAGAGACTCTGTAGGTCGCCAAAACCGGATTATAAAAAAAATCTGAAACACGTCAACTATATTTTCGAGGGGGACATCGTTCTAGAATATTTTCAGCCCTGCGGCGTTGCCGCTTCTAGAGGAAAGAAGCAACAACTTTGTTATTTCAAATGGAACACCATGTATTTTATTGCATTTTTAGATTCTCCCCGAAGAGCTGATTTCATCAATGCATCACACTTGGGGTCTAGCTGTGATGGTTTCAGGGATATAAAGTGTTCAAAATCGAGATTTTTTAGCATTTTTTTGTGTCGAAACTATTCATTATTGGTCAAAATGGCTTTCATGTCCCTATCTCAACTTGTGATTCACTATCTACTAACATTTAATTGGAACAGATACAGGGTGATCAGAATTCTGAATCTTGAACCACCCTGTATTTGTTTCAAATAAATGTCAGTAGATAGTAATTCATAAGTTGAGATAGGGACATGAATGCCGTTTCGACCAATAATGAATAGTTTCGACACAAAAAAATGGTAAAGTTGAAAAATCTCGATTTTGAACACTTTATATCCCTGAAACCATTACAGCTAGACCCCAAGTGTGATGCATTGATGAAATCAGCTCTTCGGGGAGAATCTAAAAATGCAATAAAATACATGGTGTTCCATTTGAAATAACAAAGTTGTTGCTTCTTTTCTCTAGAAGCGGCAACGCCGCAGGGCTGAAAATATTTTAGAACGATGTCCCCCTCGAAAATATAGTTGACGTGTTTCAGATTTTTTTTATAATCCGGTTTTGGCGACCTACAGAGCCTCTGTTTCGTTTTCAACGGCCCACTCTGTATATTCTTATAAAATAGTTAAATATACAATTTAAGATGAAAATTCGAGCCAGAAATGCTTGGTCAGCATACTTTAATAATTTTGGTCAGCAAGTTATATTTTCCCTGTCAAACTGAAACGTTATTCGTCACAGTTATATTCCAGATATGTAATTGTGTTGCTTGAATATTGAATTTATCTAAAGAGAAGGGGATGTGATTGTATAAACAGAATATAAATAGATACACTCGTTATGTGATTGATTCGACGAGTCCAAAAATAGCAATAATTAAATTCATGTAGCTTGCAGGTGAAATTGGGGTCACCTGAGTCAAAAACATTGATATCATTTTATATAACCGCTTGTTCCCTATATAGATGTGTTTTTCGTAATTCTCATATATAATATACCACAATGATAATATTTTGCCGGAAATATTCGGTGATTGTTACGACAGCTTGTTGCCTAATAATTTCGTGAATGACATTGTTATCAAAACTACGAGCCGTAGGCGAGTAGTTTTGGATCAATGTCAAGAGCGAAATTATAGCAGTAAGCTGCAGTATGTCAATCGACGAATAATTCCAGGAAAAATAGTATCACGAGTTGTATTCGTATGACTATTTCATGATTGAATGAGATGAGACAATATATATAAGAAATAGGACACATAATTTAAGTATACTCCAACTCAAACTGCGAAGAAGAACATAATGATAGTGATGAAATACAGAATTCAATTTTTTTGAAATTAACTACCTACTTATAGTTATTCACAAAGTGGAATGTACAATTTTGATAAACAGTATTTTTTCATTATCTTGGAGATGGTTGCTCTCAAGAAATTGTATAAGATATTTGCTATCCAATTCAAACACAGTGAATTGAATTTATGTGACATGATATAATTAAAAAAAATAAGATATCGTCGCCGAGGGGCTCAAACTATTGACCTTCGTATCTTCGCGCAACAACCCTAACAGTTGCGCTATATGGTAATTATATTAGTGACAACAACTTGAGTGATTGAAGAAGATACTTTAAAAAGGAATTTGAATTCTAGTATTGTTGTGTCAGACCGTCAACAAATATGCAAACTTTTCAAATTACACATGAAACGTCCAGCCAGAATGAAATTGTCTCGCCTTTCGTACAAAATGTCTCACTAACGCGAATTATGAGTAAATAAAATGAAGAAAGCACTTATAGGTTATTGTCTCAGATTTGAATCCAAAGCAATCTTGACCAAACACGATGTCAAAATGTTATCGCTGATAAACGAGGTTAGTTGGTCACGTGTGGGTCAATTCGGCTTCTGTATTGGTAGAGCAAGTCCGATAAAATTTAATCAACAAAAAATATCGCTAGAAAATACAGAAGAAAAACCGTGAAAATGGTCGATTCTGATTGGTTCTCGAGATCAAGAGTGGAATAGTCATATGTAATACCACAAGTGATACTATTTTGCCGGAAATATCTGGTGATTGTTATGACAGCCCTTCATTCATTGAGAACTCGTTTAATTAATTATAAACTCAATTTTTCGACTATGGGCATTGACCACAATTTTACAGCTGTTAGCATCACATTTTTTCAAATCCATAAGTAAGTCAAGAACAAATAATGTAATTCTTCCACATCAATCTGTTTGTATTGTAGAACTTTTGATTAGGCTGAAGATGGTCTTCTATAAGACCGAAACATGTCCCTTCTGATTGTGTAAAAACACCATTACATTTTGTGTAGATGGCGAGCATTCCATCCTCCCTTTTTCTCTCAAACAGGTCCCTTCATGTAGTTGTCGACGAAGTTTCATCTGACTCTCTTATCATAAATGCTGGTGTTCCGCAATGATCAATGCTAGCACCAACACTATTTCTACTCGATATCAACGATTTGTTGGAAGCAACTTCATGTCCAGTAAACAGCTTCGCGGACGATAGTACCCTCCATACCGCCTTCTCTTCCAGGGCTCCAATACCAGCCAGGTAAATCAGAAACGAACGAGGAAGAAATGTTGACAACATAAATTGGCAACAATTCTCGAATGGATGTCCAATAACTTGGTAGATTTCAATGCAGACAAAACACAAGCATACCTTTTCTCTAGAAAAGCCGATCGCACTGTGTCTAACATAAGCTTGTCAGGAGTA